ATATATATATATATGTATATATATATATGAACCTGAACATTTGAATAATAGGGCCCCTTAAATGCCTTTAATCTATTTTGCAAAGCGCTTGCCTTGCACATGCTGCCTATATCTTTTAACCTTGGACTGTATGTTATCTTATTTTCTGTTTGTCTTGTGCCAAACTGTTAAAGCACTTTGACCTGCCTTCAACAAATAATGTTATTTATTGTTATTATTATGAAAATCAAGCAACAGAAACTATGTTATTGATGTCTTTGCAGCACAGATTTCTGGAAACCTCCACAGTGTGTCTCGTGTTGCTTTGAGGGGGAAAAAGAAATCCGACAGCAGCACCGACAATAATTTTTCTTGGAAACGCTCGGGGGTTAAAGATATCTTTCAGTACACAACATCAACAACAACAACAAAGAGCTCCTCCTCACCATGTGCAGCAGGGTCTTGTTGTCCCTCAGGGAGCCCACCATGCCCACCACGGACACGGTGAACATCACCAGGCCCAGCAGAATGAGCACCACGGCGGGGGCCAGAAACAGGCCCTCCAGGGTCCGGTTCTTCTGCCGCTCCACTTCAGCGTAAACCCCCACACAGAGAACACAGAGGCCCATAAGCTGCAGAGAGAGGGGGGGGGGTTAGTGGGATAAAAACACTCACTGGAAGAAGAAGGAATAGTGTCGAGGGTTTGGTACGCAGTGTTGGTGATGCTGACATTACAGAAACTGATGTGAGAGCAAAGTCTATTCAAAGTCAGAATACTTTTACTGACTGCACTCCAATTTTGCATTAAGGAACAAATACAGGTTGATTGTAGTATTTGAAACCGAAAATGATTTTTAAATGCACTTAAAGAGGCCCTTTTCTGCCTTTTTCTCTTTCCTGTAGTGTGTTCTATAGGTTTTAGTGCATGTAACTGGTCTGCAAAGGCTAAAATCCTAGTGCTCCCTAACCCTATGTTTACTTCAGGAAAATAGTGACATCACTATGTAACACTCACGCTCCTATTGGTCATTGCTCCAACACATTGTACGTGATGGAACAGAGGGTGAAAAGAGGTTATAAAGCATTTCTATGCAACTGTATGACTGTAAGTGATAGGCTAAGGGGCGGGACATCTCTAAGCGGTTGACCAATCAGGCAGTAGGAGAAAAATAAAGAGCTTTTTGAACATTAAAGCATGGAGTTATATATCATAATAAAGTGACATGACCTTGGACTTTGAGGAACTAGGAAGGACATTTTTAATTTAGATGACTTATTCAAGCAAGCCAGATTGATTGATGATGCAAAAATCGTTAAATGTTTATTTGTTCAAATCAAACCAAGGAATGTTTTGGCATCTCCTCACTCCGTGCAAACGCTCCGCTGAAATCCAGACTAATGAACTTCTTAAGTGGATTTGTTTCCTCTTAAGGAAGGATTTGGCTCCAGCCCACATAAACCGAAACTTTATCCACTTAGAGGAATTATGCAGTGAATGAAGACGATGGACGTGACCCCTAATAGACTCAGACAGTTCACAATGATTGGATGAGCAACAAAACCGTGATGACACCGTGTGCAACAACCTGTGATACCGAGGAAAGCAATCAGAGTTTATTTATAAAGTCCAATATCACACATTCTACATTTGTTTCAGTGGATTTTTTAATGGGAGAAACCCCCCAGTTAATGGGAGAACCCCCTCCCGCCAATTAACGGGAGAAACCCCCCAGTAATGGAGAGGACCCCGCAGTAATGGGAAGAGAGCCCCGCAGTTAACAGGAGAAACCACCCCAGTTAACGGGAGAAATCCCCCCCTCCAGTTTAACGGAGAAAACCCCCAGTAATGGGAGAGACCCCGCAGTTAACAGGCAGAAACCCCACCCCCAGTTACGGGAGAAACCCCCGCAGTTAACAGGAAGATAACCCCCAAGTTAAACAGGAGAAAACCCCCCAGTTAACGGGAGAAACCCCCCAAGTTAACCGGGAGAAAACCCCCCCAAGTAATGGGAAGACCGCCAGTTAACAGGAAAAACCCACCAGTTAAGCGGGAGAAACCCCCCAGTTAACAGGAGAAAACGCCCCCCCAGTTAAGCGGGAGACACCCCCCAGTTAACAGGAGAAACCCCCTTAAGCAGGAGAAACCCCCCCCAGTTTAACGGGAAGAAACGCCCCCAAGGTAATCGGGAGAAGACACCGCGCAGTTAAAGCAGGAGAAACCAAGTTAACCCAGGAGAAACGGCCCCCAGTTAACGGGAGAAACCCCCCCCAGTGAATGGGAGAGAACCCGCACCCGCAGTTAACGGGAGAAAAACCCGCCCCCAGTTACGGGAGAAACCCCCCCCAGTAATTTGGAAAGAAGAAACCCCGCAGTTAACAGGAGAAAACTCCCCAGTTAACGGGAAAAGAAACCCCCCAGCTAAGGGAGAGACCGTCCGCAGTTTAACAGGAGAAACCCCCCCAAGTTAACGGGAGAAACCCCCCCAAGGTTAACAGGGAGAAACCCCCCAGTTAACGGAGAAACCCCCAGTGAAATGGGAAGATGACCCCGCAGTTAACAAGGAGAAACCCCCCAGTTAACAGGGAAGATAACCCCCCCAAGTTTACCGGGAGAAACCCGCCGACAGTAATTGGGAGAGACCCCGGCAGTTAACGGGAAAAGAAACCCCCCAAGTTAACGGTAGAAAAAAAAGAAAAACCCCCCCAGTTAACCGGGAAAGAAACCCCCACAGTAATGGGAGAAGAACCGCAGTTTAAACAGGAGAAACGCCCCCCCAAGTCTAACGGGAGAAAACGCCCCCAGTTAATGCGGGAGAACCCCCAAGTAATGGAGAGACCCCACAGTTACAGAGAGAATCTCCCCAGTCTAACGGGAGAACCCCACCCAGTAATGGGAGAGACGCCCCGGCAGTTAACAGGAAAGAAACCCCCCCCAGTTAACAAGGAGACAAGCCCCCCCCAGTTAACGGGAGAAACCGCACTCAGTAAATGGGAGACCGACCCCGAAGTTAAACGGGAAGAGACCGGCAGTTTAACAGGCGGAGACACCCCGCAGTTTAACGGGAGAAAGCCCCCCAGTTAAAGTCCCGGGAGAAACCCCCAAGTAAACAGGAGAAACCCCCCAGTTAACCGGGAGAAGATCCCGCAAGTTTAAGCGTGAAGAAAACCCCCCTAGTTAACAGGAGAAACGCGAACGCCAGTCAGCGTTTCCGACGGGGGCCGTCTTGCCGTTCATTTGACCCGCCCCTTATTCAGCTCGGGACGCCCTGCGAACTCGGAGCCCGAGGGCGTCCCAAAAATATTTATATTTCCAGAGAAAGATCGAGAGTTTTTATCGGCTTGAAATAACGAAAAGGAAAAAGGACACAGGACATCCCTCTTTGGATGCGGCAAAGGAGTCTGGTGGGATTATTTCTGAGTTATGCGTGAAGAGCGTTTCCGCCCCGAATCGAAGGTGCGCTGCTACAGGAGCAACACGGAACGTGGCGCGATTTGGACGCGCTGAGCGGGGGGGGGTTTAGTGAGCTGCGAGCACCAAAGAGCCTCGGGCAGCGCCGGCGAAACTGAGGCTCCGTGGTAGAACTGGTGGTAAGCATGAAGAGCGCGTTTGGGAGGTGAAAAGAAGCCGGCCCGCTTTAAGAGAGCCGAGCCAAATGATCCCGGCCCTCAGAAGACAGTATCTATAAGGCCGACGGCCTCAATGTCATAAAAATAAGGAGAGACCCCCCCCACGTTTATATGGGGAGACCCGAAAAGTTAAGGGGAACCCCCCCCCTCCCCAGTTAATGGGAAAGACGCAGGTGGATGTCCAACAATCACCGTGGGGAGGGGCCATAATACTTTTCTTTCTAGAAAAAACGCTGTGTGGGCTAAGCCATTTCCAAGCAAACCAGTTTTTTGGGCAACCGCTTTTAAACTTTCAAGATGTTTTTCCATACGTTTACTCTTGATAGCTGCTTTTTTTAATCTTGTACTTTTAAAATGGAGGGCAAACGTCCCCAGAAAACGCTGTTTATAAACATAATTGAATTTTCTTTTGTACCCCTTTTTACATATTTATTGTACTTTTGTATGTAAAAAGAATGTGTAACATCTTCCCTTATGCTTCGTATGTTAAAAGAGAAAAAAAAAAAAAAAAAAAAAAAAAAAAAAAAAAAAAAAAAAAAAAAAAAAAAAAAAGAAACACATGTCATGCCTTTTCGGTTCTACCCGTGCCACCCTTGTGTGTTATGATAGGTTTTTGCCTGCATGTAAAAGCGGACCCTGCAGTCAGGCAAAACCCCCTCAAAAGTAAAACCAGTTAAAGTTAATTCTATTCAACTTCTTAATTGGGGCAGCATTAGATTTGAACTTTTTGTGGGGTTTACTTAATATGTTATGATTCTACTTTTATGTAAAATTAAGCAAAGAAGCAAGATTTCNATCAGTATGTAGTGTCTCTACTTTAAAGAGTCCTCTCCTGCTGATGTTCAGGTGTATATCAGTATGTAGTGTCTCTACTGGGACATGTCTCCATGCTTTAATGTTCAAAAAGCTCTTTATTGTTCTCATACTGCCTGTGCTGCAGCACCTCTTTTCACCCTCTGTCTGAAACCTGAACCCAGTCTGCTCTGATTTGTCAACCGCTTAGAGATGTCCCGCCCCTTAGCCTATCACGTACAGTCATACAGTTGCACAGGAAAGCATCTTTGTGTTTAGTTAGGGTGATTTAGCCTAATGTGGGACATTTGTTTGAAGGTTGCTCCACCCTCATCTGTGATTGGACATTTGAGAAGTCATGTGATTTAGATTTTTGATAAGTGTGGGTTGATAAGAAAAAAAAAACGGTTATAGAGAGTGTGAAATACTAAACTCTATTAAACTTCTGCTTGAATATGTGACTCGCTTTGGCCATCTTATTATAATTGGCCTTAACATACCTGTGCTTTGTTGGACCAAATCATTTAAATGTCTTCACCTGCCACAATCCTATTTTATCATCCAATAAAAACAGTTTGGGTAGTGAGGAGCAGGGACACTTTATTAAACAAATATCTGTTTGTTGACCTTGATTCCAATGAACCAGAAGGCTCTGAACATGCCGGGACATGTTTTTTAAACTGGTTTAGAAATAATACCCACACCAAATGTACCTTTATTTAACTAGTATTAAGTACTTTAAATAACATTTCACACATGCATTATTAGTATATATTAAAGTATATTAAGTCATAATATGAACATGAATGGCAGAGGTTGAAGAAGTACTCAGATCTCGTACTTGAGTAAAAGTAGAAGTACTCAGATCTTGTACTTGAGTAAAAGTAGAAGTACTCAGATCTTGTACTTGAGTAAAAGTAAAAGTACCAGAGTGTAGGAATACTCTGTTAGTAAAATTCCTGCATTCAAAATGTTCCTCAAGTAAAAGTAGAAAAGTATTCTCATCAAAATATAGTTAAAGTAGCGATAGTAAAAGTAGTCCTTGTGCAGATTGGTCCATTTCAGAATAATAGATATGATATGTTTTATAATGATTGATCATGAAAGTGTTCTCAAAGCTGGTAAAGGTGCAGCTAGTTTGAATGACTTTGTATACTGCAGGGTAGCTTGTGGATTTACTCCAGGTGGAACTAAAGTCTGATTTAACACTTGATTATATTTCACATCATTCATCCAGATCTGTAAAGTAACTAAAGGTATTACATACATGTAGTCGAGGAAAAGTACACCATGTACCTCTGAATTGTAGAGGAATAGAAGTACACAGTAGCATACAATTGAAATGCTCAAAAGTGTACTTCAGTAGAGTACTTTAACACCACTGCTGGATTTAAATCAATAATAAAAAGGCGCTTTTCCGCCTGTTCCTCTTTTCTGTCGGCAGATCTCTTTGCCCACAGCCTTCCCTTTAACTGCATCCAACGCCCTGCACCACCGTGCTGTTTGCTACCAGTTATCGATTAATACTGATAAAAACAATAGAAAAAATGCAGTTAATAACATCCAATTATACTGTAATGAATTATTACAAGGCCAAAAATGATTGTAGTAAGAAAGGATTAACAAATAGGAGGATGCATGATGTTTATCTTGCAGGCTAACCATGCATCTTGCTAGCTAGTATCCCCAAAACTCCACACCAAAGCCCATTCGAAAATATGACAATTTAACATAGCATGGCCCTACATCAACAAAAAAAAAATGTATATCATAATGTATGACTTACATGTTAATCACTATAGACTTCTGGTGAATACGGCATGAGTCCTAGCCACCATCGGGCTTTTAATCTCAATAAATCTGTAGCAAAACTGCACCAAAAACGCCCAAAACTGTGGATGAAAACAGGCTTTATAAGGAGGAGATACGTGTTTAAAAATCTAATTGTGATCGAGATGGTTGTGCTCATTGTCTGATATACATGCCGATGTGTACAACAGATGGTATAGATTCATCATATGTAAAATATTATGTGGTAACAAGTGTGCATAAGCAAGGAAAATATAAAACATTAAATTCACAGTTTTATGGATGAGGTTTGGCGAGGTGATGCTAGTGGGTGTTTCGCACCCGCTACCATTAGCAGACACTGTTGCAAATTAAAATAGCTATAATAACGTGAACGAATGCACAGGAAACTTACCGAAAACAGCATTGAGTAGATATTTAAGGTGAATTTGATGAAGTAGTAGAAGTGGTTTGTTTTCCTTAATTCAGAATAGGACGGCATGGCTGCTGATGCTAACAAGCTAGCGGTTAGTTCAGGGAAAATTATAATAATGAAACATCAAATATTCCTAATGAAATGGAATACGATTTTTAACAGAGCTAGCTGTTTTTTATATATATAGCAGCCCTCATTTCCCACATACTAACGTTGGTAAAGACCGCAACAATAACCACTTCCGCTTGGCCGGAAAAACAGTCCACGCTTTGTTTTGACTACCGTCTTAAAGGGGCAGTGAACACATCATCACTATCTAACTGGATTAGCATAATGATGTTAATTTACTAAATACAATTAAAATACAATAAATATATACAAATGAATAAAATAGTTAGTATAGAATAATTTTAAAAATCTTTCTCTATGTTTGGTATTAATAAAATAATTTAAAAAAAACAAGAATATAAGACTATTAAAAGTAAAACAGACATTGAGGTCAGAAAAGCCTTGTATCAGCAAAGCAGGTGTGGACCTATGGTAATATGCAGCTCATAGGATGACATTTTAACAATGTGTAACAGCATATAGTCACTAAAAGATACAATATATATATTTAATTACATTTGGTTTCCATCTATTCATGTTTACTGACTTGAAACTTGAAAGACAGAGGAACTTTGAAAATAACTAGTAAAGGAATTATTTACTATGGGGTTCTGCTTTGACCTCGGATCACAGCTAATCCCTGTTTCTTCTGGTTGCATCAGTTGTTGTTGCCACCCCTTGATGGATATATATATATATAGCATCTGGTGACATTACTCATGTTTTCACAAATAGGTTAATGCACTTGGCCATGTTTACAGGTGATCATCAGCACAGGTGTTTAATCTTCTGAGATGTTCTCATAGAGAGATATAGAAAGAGATTCATCTTGTTATTTAACTTACTGTTAATATGATGTGTGGGGTGGAGGCGATGTGAGTGATGTCATTGTATTCATACTGTTTTAATTGGGGTCAGTGGTGAGGTGATGTTAATGAGGTAAGTGTATTTCTTTAGGCTGTGGTGGCTGACTGCAAACAGTGTGGCACCATCATCAGGTTTTCTCCAAAGAAAGAGCATCATAAAGGTTAGTTTATCATCTCTAATCCACTTAAACGTTATGAAAGAGGGCACTTCATCATGTTGTCACCACTGGAGGTGCATCTTAGGGGGCATTTTATCAAGATGTATTAAGTGGAAGGGCACCATGGTGGACAATTGATAATGTTGTCCCCCCTGGAAGGACATCCTATAGAGACCTTTATCATGTTTTCTCCACTAGAAGTGCATCTCAGAAGGCATTTCATAAAGTTTTTTTCCACTGGAGGGCTAATTTAGAGGGCATTTGATCGTGTGTCTCCACTTGAAGTGCATCTTAAAAGGCCCTTCATCATGTTTTCTTCACCGCAACAGCACCATAGAGGGAACACGATGTTTTCTCCATCATCTCCATTGAAAGGGTACGTTGACCACCACTGCACTCAACATGCCGTTGGGCAAGACACTTCACCCTGAATTGTTCCTGTTGGTATTGTCCACAGTATTCAATGTGTTACATGTCTAGCACTATAGAAAGACTATAGATTGGAGGGATTAAACCCTCTGTAATGGTTACACATGCAGAGATGTGATATGTAAGGCGCTTTGAGCACTTGGAAAAGCACAACAAAGAAATACGTTTTTTTTCAATGTAAAGGCATCATAACAGGCGATTGATAAGGTTTTCTCCACTTGAAGGGCACCCTTGAAAGGACAATTCAAAAACCAATTTTCATCCACAGGTGTTATCATGAACTGTAGTTGCTATGCATGCTGGGATTACATCTACTGTAGTCCCATGAGATCATGAACAAGACAAAAGCAAATAAAGGAATGAATGATCATGTGCCTCTCAGTAAGACCCACATTTCAGCTTCTCGGTAAATTAATTGTTCTTTGTTGAAGGAACTAAATCCGTCTCCCCTGTGCACGTCCTCATGCCATTACACTGGCAGCAAGCCATCTAAGAGTCTCACATCTTTCACAAATAATTGAACTTTAAGTTTCAGTGGGAGGTAGGACAACACTTAGCCCGAGCTACTGAAAGCCAATAAAAATGGAAAAGGTCAGAAATAACCTTTGGATATTTAAAAAATGTCTTCATGTGTCTGGGCCTCGGAGTCAGTTCATATGGACTGAGTTTAGATTCATGAAGCAGCTCATTTGCTCTGTTAACTCATCTGAATCCTACACTTCCTTTGCCAAACTAATTTCCAAACTCATAGCCACACACCCAGTCGCTATAAACTGAGAGGGGCATAAATAACTTTCATTAAAAATCTCATTTGCAATTCCCATCTTGGCAATACAGAGGCAGCTCTCAATGATGCATACCAATTTTCCGTCTTGACAGAATGAGTATATTTTCACAGTTTTATCTATAGCTGATTATATATGATTGAGTCTGATTTCCACTGCACACAGCAATGCTAATGTAATCAGTTCTATAAAACCACTTTTCATTACTCGTTGTCTTTGTAAAACTTTTTTTTTCATCAGTAGAGATGAGAGCAATGAGGACGTTTCCAAAGAGACAATTATTAACTGCTGGACATCGTCTGCTTTTGTGGTGAAACTGTGTAGGGGATTATCTCATGTAATCCATCATAAAGTGTTTTAGCATCTATACTTGTTATTATGATACACTACTGTCGCTACACTACAAGCTCTTTTTAGGTCGCTAACTCTTTACAACGACCCAAAACTCTTCCATCAGGAGAAACGTGCTGCAGCTTCAGAAACAACGTAGATATAAAAATACAAATGTTCCAAAAACACATGAAGAAACATCTTCAGCAACTTGACAACACATGCAGATTTTAGAGAACATTCAGCAACTTGAGGAGACATGCGCAGCGTTTACTAAAAGCTGCAGACACAAAACGCTGCAAATACAAAACGCTGAAGAAGCTCAAATACAACGGAGACCAGGGGACACTAAAGAGTGACGCACACAGCTGGGAGACCAGGGAACACTAAAGAGTGACACACACAGCTGGGAGACCAGGGGACATTAAAGAGTGACGCACACAGCTGGGAGACCAGGGGACACTAAAGAGTGACGCACACAGCTGGGAGACCAGGGGACACTGTCACTACCCGATCCGTCCCCCTGCCCGATCGGTACTGCGCATGTGCGAGATGGTCCGCTATATTGGAGAACTCCGGACGGCAACCCAAGATGTACACTTGACACAGTGACTTTTAGCAAAGCTCAAAAATAAAACGAGAGAGAGATGAGTTATTGTTATTACAACGTGACTTCACTATTATTTAACAACTCAAGGTTCTTTTATTTGGGGTTAAGTACATTGTCAGAATAAGTGAGAAATTAATTTAACTTCTGTTAGACAGCCATATGCCATACATTTTTGCATACATTCACAGTAGCCTACATATTTATTCAGAATGATAGCTGTCTAACAGAAATACAATTAATTTCTCACTTATTCTGACAAATAAAAGAACCTTGAGTTGTTAAATAATAGTGAAGTCGTTACTTCACTATTATTTAACAACTCAAGGTTCTTTTATTTGTCAGAATAAGTGAGAAATTAATTGTATTTCTGTTAGACAGCTATCATTCTGAATAAATATGNGATGTTCAGGTGTATGTAGTGTCTCTACTTTAAAGAGTCCTCTCCTGCTGATGTTCAGGTGTATATCAGTATGTAGTGTCTCTACTTTAAAGAGTCCTCTCCTGCTGATGTTCAGGTGTATATCAGTATGTAGTGTCTCTACTTTAAAGAGTCCCCTCCTGCTGATGTTCAGGTGTTTATCAGTATGTAGTGTCTCTACTTTAAAGAGTACTCTCCTGCTGATGATCAGGTGTATATCAGTATGTAGTAGCCTTTTCAGTGTCTGCTACTTAAACAGAGTCCTCTGCTGCTGATTGGTCAGGTGTATATCGGTATGTGGTGACCGCATTAAGAGATATCCTCTCCTGAGCCTGATGTCAGGTGTACAAAGTGTGTTGTGTACGCTGAGCCAATAAGGAGTGCTCGCATGTTGTTTGGATTAACAGGTGTACTCAAATGAGTATCGAAGTGTCTCTTACTAAATACAAGAGTACTTATGCATGTGTTCAAACAGAGTACATATTGAGTAGGTAGTGGTCTAGATGTGACATGTCTCCAGCTTTAGTTCAAATAGTTGCCTTTATTGTTCTACTCTCTGTGCTTATGGCACATATAAATTCAGACCTCCTGTCAGAAACCAGAGCCAGTCTGCTCTATTGGATTGATGATCAGCTCTGTTGATGAGTGGACACACCGCAAAATAGATGTCGTTAGTTAAAGTATAAGTAGAGTAGTCATGTGGACCGTTGCATATAATCGTTCTACTATAAACCGGTCAACTAATTTACTGAAATTAAACTATAAGTAGTGTTCGGAAATCATAAGTTGTTCATTGTTAATGGATCCCTTCTAACAGTAACCTCTACATAGTGCTAATTAATAGTTCACAAACCTGTTAAGACAGTGATTGGACTGTTTAACACCCTCAGACAAACATAAGTTGCCATTATCTGTAATATGTACACGTGGATGATCAACAACATCTCATTCTTGTATATAAAGCTGTACATGCTGCCTAGCAGCCTGTCATTAAAAGGCTATTTACGCAGGTAAATACACTATTTATGGTATCTAATGTGCAGCTGTAATGTTGATGGGTCAGAGCTGCGTGTTCCTATTTATGCTTCGATGTGAGACATTAGGCAGACTCGGTGCATTCTGTCTGGCCCTGTGGTATCGTCTGCCACAGGCTGGAGATACAGTTCTGTTTTTCATTCTCGCAGTTAATAGCTTCTCTGTTTGTGCATCTGCATGTCCTTAAAGTCCCCTATGTAATCTCACCTTAAACCTGTGTGTATGGTCTGCAAACAGCAGGAATGATGATGGATATGATTGTATCATTCGCGCACACTTTATAAATTAGGATTCAAGCTCAAATTCATCCAGTTGGGGCATCAAATCTAGTTGTATACCTTTTTGTTTTCAGGTTTTGTTTATGACTTATTATATTTTAATTGTACACGCGATCCGGACTTCAAAACAAGTTAAATTATCTTTTTTTATTTTAAACGATTGAATGCTTCAACGAGTTGGCAGAGGTTAGTCTGGTTTCATAACTGTAAGCTGTTTTTCCAATATGATTTGAA